GTCACACTCGGAGCATTTTATCTGCCTCAGCCCGATTGTAAAAGTCTGTTTGTCGATTGTGGGTCTTGTGAGTGCTGGGTGACAATGCTTCCTGCTCTCAAAACCAACTCTTTGAGCAGTGGTGAGTATTACTAATACACATGTAAACTGTCTTCCACTGAGATTGCTGGAGAGAATAACTTACCGTAATCTTACTTATTACATGACCTAATATGGATGCCAATCCATGATTGGTGTTATTGGAATTATCCTGGCATCGTCATGGAAACCTTGTTGGCTGGCTGTGTTTTTCTATTCTTTTGTTAATCTTTCAACCCTGTCCTCCCCATTGGGCCCTATTTCCAGCTTGGACGTGCACACAAACATCTCTGACCTTGCTCATTTTCTACCCAAAGGGCATAATGCCCTCATCAGGGTTGGTTGACTGGGAACAAAGAGGTCTCGACCTGCGAAACAAAGACTTGTAGTTTACGTAGGAACCCCTGTTTGCCTTCCTCTTTGCCTTGCGCATTGCTGATAACAGCTCATCCTTGTGTCTCTGTCTGTCTTTCTCAGTTCGAATCCACTAAACCTCTCCGGTCTCCAGCTAATCAGCTCTGTGTGTTTACATTCTTATGTATGTTGGTGGCAATATGAGGTTAGCTTGGTCCATCACCTCATTGCTTGATAGTGGACACGGGTTTGTTTTTTTTGTTTTAAGAAATATTCTTATGTTTTGTGGCTAGGATTAGGGTGTTTCAGATAAAAGGGTGTCATGTGTTATTCAAAGCTGTTTACACAAAGCCTTTTTATGTTCGTTCCATGTAAATTGACGTATGTCTTGGACACGAAAGAGGTCTTAACTGACTAATAGGTGGTTTTCCTATTAGCACTTGATTACATTTGTCCATTGATGCTGGTCTAAGTGTAGATATTATTTTAGTTTTAGCCATGCTTCTTAATTATTCCCCTTGAAATAGCGTCATAATGAGAAAAGAGACCGAGTAAAGCAAGTGTCTGAAACAGGATGTCCTAAAGGAAGACCTGAGGATCAAGAGCCTGTGGATGAATACTAACTAGGTATATTCTTTGCTAGTAGAGCTAACACTGCCTCCATTCAGGATTACGATTGTCTTGTGGATTGAGCAGTTAAGCAATGCTGCAGGGCCCTTCTCTTTCAAGGCCACATATTGAATGTCAAGAAATGTCTGTACTTTCTCGTGCTTAATGTTTTTCACTGAAAGCTGGATTATTCTGGAAATGGGAAATGCTGCCATGTTAATCAGATGCTAGTTTCTCCTTTCACATGGCACCAGACCTAAAAAGAATATTTTATATATTGAATTGAATATATTTCATGCATACCCCTCCGTGGTAGTTCTAGTGTTAAAGAACAATGTCATGCATCTTCAAAGGATATTTTCCATCTGCCCAGGTAGAGGCAGCCAGTCCCAAGTTTGTGTGTAGAAATTTGTGAGTGGAGATGGTGAACAGATTCAGGTGTATATTAACACAGTGACAAGGAGGAAAAACATCAGCAGCAATCTAAGAGAAGACCCCTGTCAATCTGAGGGTTATTAGAACAGCTCTAAACAGTCCCAATTTTCACAGTGAGAGAGATTAATTTGAAAGTTAAATTGCTCAATATAGCTGGCAGCCTTTATAAGAGAGTCCCCAAAGGTTCAGACTATGTGATGCTTAGATGAGCTTCAGAAATAAAACACGAGGTACATCTCAGTCCGCACTGGCCTCAGTCAGCATGTTCTGCTTTACTGTAATGACACTTAGAAAGAGAGGGAACAAGTAGGGTTGGTTCAGAAGGACTGCCAGATGAATGCCTCCCCACTCTAGAACAGTAGCGTGACTCTGGTTTCCAAAGTTGCGTCTGGACAAACTACCAGGCAACTGGAACAAAATGATTTAGGCAAATGTAGGCCAAAGTGGAGATGTTCGTCATCATGCGCAAGCACCTCATACCAGCTGTCAAGTACAGTGGTGGCGGGGCCATCATCTGGGCTTGTTTTACTGCCACAGGACACGGGCAGCCTGTAGTCATTGAGATGACCATGAACTCATCTGTGTACCAAAGTGTTACGGAGTCAGACACGTGGTCATGTGTTGGACAGCGAAGGCTGAGACTGGTTCCTGCAACGGGACAATCGCAAACACGGAAATCAAAGGAGGGGTGGTAATCAAGGTGTATGCATTAGTTCAAAGTCCAGACATCAAACCAGCCGAAACCCTATAGGGGGACCTTAAGAGGGCGGCACATAAACGAATGCCTGCAGGCAACTCTGTAAAGACCAGTTCAGAATTCCTTCATGATGTGAGAGACAGATAACATCACCCAAAAATCTGTTCAAGGTATTGTTACTAAAAGTGGCTATACACAGTGTAGAAGAAACAAATGTTCATTAATGCAGAAGAATGCCATCTGATCAGCAGTAGCTTCCAAATGATTTCCTAAATATGTTTCATGTCTTGATAAGTAACTTTTGCACATGACATAAATGAAAGCACTATTATTCTGACATTCTGGTATCCTGGATTCCAGGGCTGCGGTACTCAGACTTAATGTGTTTTCCTGCCTCTGACATGCGTAATTAAGATGATCTCAAATTTATCAACAAGAGCGATTAGTCACACGGCATTTCTTTTGTGCACTCACACACTTCGATTCACTGTTTAGAATCTTAGGCCAGGTCTTGTTGCCTGATTGCCCTTGTTAATGCATACGTTTCTATACTTCATATGCAACACATAGCTACCCCTGTAGTTAGTAGGGACTCTCCCTTAGATTTATTGGAAATTGATATTGAAAGGTGGATCGTTTTATTTGTTGGACTGATTGAACTTGAGAGTCGCATATTTCTTCTATTCATTTTATTAAAATATTGGAATCAAATCAAAACTAAATGCAAAAACTATGCATTTCTGTTTTAATTTAAATGGGCTGAAAGACAGCAGGAAAGTCAGGTTTGTTTTTTTTGTTTTTTTACAGAATACAATGTCTCTCTTCTTAAATAGCCTGCAGTGCATAACACGGCCGAGGACAAGTTAAGGTTACGCTAAAGGCGGTCATGTGTTAATGTGAGGAATGGCTGGGAACAACCAGCAGCTGCTGTCTTGTCGTTATGCTAACACCTTCATCTGACTGTTACTTTCCACCTCTACTCTGATGTCCTTTTCAGGACCCGACGAGAGATGGTCAGGTGAGGACTGACCTAGTGTACATCCAGACATATGCATTTAAGTTCAGGATGTCCATGCCCTCCCTCTGAACCAAAGCCGACCAGGTCCTCTTCTTGACCTCTCTGAACCTCCATGTTCCCACTGTGTCATTCAGCACAATCACATTCATCAGCTGTCAGTGCCAAAAACCTGCCATGTCCCTCTGAGCCGAGCCAGAACCAGCTTTGCTATCTCAGCTCGGCTTTAGTCAGCGCAGTGATTGATTTTCCTACACATGCCTGTGTTTCACTCTGTTTTTCCTTCGCCTTTCTCTCCGTACAGTAATGCAAGGTCCGGATTTCTCATACTGTACTTACAGAGAATAACTAAAGAGTAGTGTTTTCTACCCACCAGATTAGTTTAGATTCCATGCTTTGGTCAAAAATGGCTTTAAAATACTTGAGGACTTTGTTTTTTTCCGCCAGAAATAGACTCAGTTTCTCTGATTGTCTGATTGGATGATCATTACATGTTGCATCAGCCCTATTCTTTGGGACTGAATGGATTAGTCAGGGCCCCGCTGAGTAAAATGAGCAATTAAAGATTATACGTAGTGTCGCTGCTGACAATGTTATCTGCTCACCACCTGTTAGTCCGTCAATTCACCACTCAGCAGACTGATTTTGGACAGTTTGGATCATTGTGCAAAGAGGATGGGTGTTTAGAATAAGGAGGATCCCTTAATCCTCTTTGTGTTCAGTGAGATAACTGGGCATTTTCTAATTTGGGTTGATTCTTAATTCAGATGGCTGCAGTGATCCCTTTATTTTCCTCGCTGGTAAAACAATGAAGGGAGCATTGTTGTATCAATGTTTTCATCAAGATAATCAAGTGGGACAATGTTGATGCCCAAATTAAGTTATTTTGGTCTTTATGAAATATCCTAAATGAGATAAGGAATAAAATTAGGAATGTCCTCATTGCATCCTCGGGTTAACTTTCTCCTCCTTCTCGAACCCTGCAAGGGAAAGTCATGACTTGCTGGGATGTTCACTGTTTTTGTGGTGTGCACGTGTTGGTATGAAGACATTCAAAGTAATGATGATGTTTCTGGACTTTTCAGCCAATGTCATTGTTGTCATTATTGTCATGGAAAAGCCAATCTATGATTTACTTTTTTAGTTGTATGTATTAATTAGTTCAGTTTAGGACCTTGTTTCTTGACCAGCAGAGTTTGGTGCAGTCTATCATTTTGATATCTTGATTGTGCAACGAATGATACATGTTTTAAGCTGATTTAATGCATATAAAGCAAAGTTTTGTTGTTATTTTTGTCCAGCTTTGTGACTAAACGGTATTTGTCAACAGTTATCCACCATGAAGAATTAAATTTGATCAAAATTGGATATAATAATCAAGTAAAAATGACTGCGTGAAAGAGAGTTGACAATATCGGGGAGCTAATATGCTAATATGCTCATTTAAGATGATCTGCAGTAAGTAGTGTTATCCATGGAAATCATCTTTTTTTCAAATCTTTTATTTTCGGGATGGTTAAAGTCATGTCACAATAGTTAGTGCACCATTTGTAGCTAGGTATATCATAGATGGATAACCAAATAAAAGTGGCCACCACCAGCCAGAGCTCTGTGTGTTTTGTGGCGCAGAATAACCCTGGCAGGGTTATAAATGTACAAAGTTCAAGCAGCACATCACAACAGAAATAATCCTTAGTCTGACTGCATGTTTCCACCTCACCTCTGTTAACTGTGTCTTTCCCTCTGCATTCTCTTTGTTTCTGAACTGTAGTCTGATGAGTGACAGTGCCACCGACCCGCTCCTCCATCACAATGGTCGACATGGAGTGCCACTACCATCCGCCGTCCCCCCTGGAGGACTCGGTGTTGGACAGCCCCCTGTGTGCTGAGGATGACTTCATCGGGGGCATGGAGGAGCTCCAGGACATCTCCCAGTCCATCGAAGAGGACGCTCTTAGCTCGTTTGATGTCCCAGCGTACCAGTCCTCCAGCAATGGTTCTGAGGGTTCCACTGTCCTCGGTAAAAAATGTTTGGAAAAATATATACTTTTTAAAATAATTCATAGCATACTTCAATTTAACATACATACTTACTTGATTTCCAAACTAGATTTGCAGAGTTTTGACATATCTAAAGCTTCTCAGTGTTATGAGTTGTGGTCCTTAATTTAGCCTCTAAATCTCCCATTACTCTATAGCTTGTTTCAATGCTTGTCTTAACCTGATATGTCGTCAGGCCTGTCATGATTCAGACTGTCAGAGTAACCCACTTATGTCTAATGACTTACTTCTTGGTTCATTGTCCTGGCCCACCTCGATCTCACTACTGTGGATATCGTCTAATCGTCGTCATTTTCTCCCACGCTTTTATTCGTTTCCCTCGTCTTACCTTGAATTCGTTCTCAATCCTTTTTATCCTTGCCCCACATCCAGCATGGAATTCACACATTCCTCATCCGCCATGCCCACCCCCCCCCCTCAGGAAACATTCACTTTTGTGCACTGTGTCTCTCCCCTGAATAGAACACAGACGTCTGGGAAATCTACGTTCCATAAAACTTTGCAACATGGGAGGAAGGTGTAAAACATATTTGGGAGAGATAAAGACTTAATGGAGAAAATGGAGAGTCCGGCTGGTGCACAGGGTGAAGATGAGTGAGAAGAATACAGATGAGCAGGGGAGGCGTGGCTGAAATGTTTGGTGACGTCATGGAAGAGTCGGTGACAGGGTGTTTGGGATTTTGGGGTGTTTATTCACGCGGAGACAGTGAGAGACGGGGGCCGGAGCAAAACCGGCGCATTCTTCTGGGCTTTAGCTCTCTGGAAGCATGTGCACTTGCACGAGGCAGGAACACAGCTCGCTGCCAAACGCCGCTTATCCCTGTCCTGGCATCTCTCAACAAAACTCATGTGGCTTGACTTAGTGCCACTGTTTTGCACCACTTCCTCTGCGCTTCTTGTGTACCAAGCAAGTTTTACCGCCCACATTACCCCCTCACAAGATGGAAATAGAAAACTGCTGGCAAGCCACGGTGAATCCTGTGACCTGTCATCCTTGAGGATGATCACCTCTGTTTCTAATGCTCTAATGTTTGTAACACAACACACCAGCATCTAATATGTCTGCGTTTTTGTTGGGGGTTCGAGGTCAGGGCGCAATTCAAATTTCAATTTCAAATTTCTAAAGGAGAGATGAAAATAGAGCATTGCTTAAATTGGAACAGCCATAGTTGGGCTCCAAAACGGATCAGGTCAGTAGTTTCTGGTCTTAAAGCGCTTGACTCGTTAATCATATTGAATAGTTGTACTACAGTAAAGCAAGACACTGAAACGTTGCTCTCTTTAGAAATGTCAGGTATTCCAGTGCGTGACACAAATTCACGTTTTACGAGGAAAATGATTTGCGGCAGGGGTTCATTTGGACAGACTGGCCCGATGGTGGTGAGAAAGCAGTTTTAGCTTTGTTACCAGATCACCTCATGGCACAATATCCAACAGGCAAGATGAGCATGGCTACAACATCACGTTTGTACTATAACACCTGATTAAATGTAACGGGATGTGAGGCCAGTGGAGAATGTGTGGAATGTTATGAGTGTGCACCCGTTCTTCTCAGTGAGAAATGATGAGGAAAAAGAAACATGCATCATTGCAATAGGTCTGTTTATCTGTATGAAGAAAAAAAGAACATTCAGAGTAAAGTGCAGAGCATGTGGGTCTGTGCACTGTAGGGAAACCATGACTAACTTGGAATACCTGTTTTGCAAAAAAGAATAAAAGAACGCTGTGTTACGTATTTTGACTTTCATCTACACCGTTACTGTTCAAGTTTGCACACTTCTGACTATGTTTCACCTCTACTAGCATGTTTTTCCATGCAGCATTCCTACTGGCTGCATAGATAGATAGATAGATAGATAGATAGATAGATAGATAGATAGATAGATGATCTTCTCATTGCAGGCAAATAATCTGACCCCTCTTAGACAGATATATTTACTATGAACACAGGATGTGTTCCCATCATTGTTGTTAAAGGAATGACAAACGACTCACTGCACCAATAGGAGTCTAATCACTTGTTGCTGTTTGACACATATTAATCCCTGCATTAGTTTTCCAATTGGAGGGTCATATATATTTGTGTGGTTAAATCCAGGTTGTGACTGAAATAAAGGAAGGAAATGAGGCAGAATTTAGTGAAGACAAGGTACTGTACACATTACAGTACACTGGTGAAATAAAGAATGGATCCAGTTACATCTCAGTAAATCAACAAGGTAAAAACATCACACCGTCTTGCAGCGGAAAAAAGCAGGAGGATGAGAATGGATAATGACCGTGAAAATCCAAATAATGCCTCATGATGGCCAAGATACCCAAGAAATGTATTATGTGTCATGTCATGTCATCGTTGATATTATCTTTTTCTTATTTAAGAATATGTTGACAAAAGGAGAAGGGAAATAACTGTACAAGACCTTTTGAACTGTTAAACAGCAGCATTAGTTTAGGGTACAAACAGGGTGTACCACCACTCTTACAGCACTTTGACATGTCAAATACCTGTGCCTCACAGGCTTTGTTCCCAGTAATTGAAACTCTCTGTGCTGATAATTTTTCCATCATAGGAGATATTGGCAATCTGATTGTGGCAATTGATCTCTTAGATAGGTCTGGTCTCCTTTGACATGCTCCACGACCACCCTCCCATTGGGAAAAACTTTCCCCTTGCTCCGAATATGCAGGCTTTCAAGATGTTCCAGACAAAAGCCTAAAAAGTGCTTCCTGGGTTATTACTTCCTGGGTAATTCAGATATGTCACTTGTCCTATTGTTTCTGAAATAAAAGGGTATCTTGTGACTTTTGACCCTGTAATTCAGCAACGCATTTAACGACACGAATGCTTGTTCTTTCCAGACGCTCTGACGCCAGCGTCCAGCCCCTCATCAATTGCTTACGGGGTGGTGACCAGCCAGGAGGAGTTCTCCTCGTCCTCCTCGTCCCTCAGTCTGGAGTGTCGAGTGTGTGCTGACCGGGCCTCGGGCTACCACTATGGTGTCCATGCTTGTGAAGGCTGCAAGGTGAGATGTAGACCACTCTTACATAAAGTCTCATTCTGACTGCATATTATTCAGAGCTGCAGCAAAGACTAAAAAAATCATTTAAAAAACATTAAACATTATAAAAACGTCAACCAGTTGCAAAAAAAACAGGTGATAATTGGAATAATAAAATGAAAAAAAGGCAGAATTTGCTCAACTGAATCTAGAAGCAGTGTGTCTTGTGACTGGTCTAAAGATAACTTTTAAACTTTCAAAGATAACGTCTAAAGGCGAGTCTCGCCCTTTACACATGGACAATCCATAATCATCCGGTTAATTGTTTACTAGTCACGTTGAGTAAAAAACAACAACTGAAGCCTGTTTTGAAGTGCCACCAAAGGACGCCTCAGGTGTCTGAACGTTGCTTTGTCAGCATTCTGTAATCTTTTAGACATTTATTTTGATTTGTGCAACTTCTTTTTACAATCGGTTACTTTGAGCTAGAGGCATTTGTAATCAGGAGAGTGTTAATGCACTGAGCCCCGTCGAATGTATCCGATTAGATTGGGTGGCACAAATGTCAGCGAGTGATACATAAACTCAGAGTAGCAGCTCGGAGAAGAGAAGAGTGCCGCTTGAGCAGTTGTATTGTAATCACAGTTTATCTTGTGGATGTCGGTATGTGTGAGACACAGTTGAGTCAGATATACATGCTGAAGTTATGCAGCCAAAAAGTCTCAGTCTCAAGACATTAAACAACAACAACAAAAAGCCACATTTATAAAGTAGGAGACTAATAAGAGGCTGGTATTTCTTAACTGTTAAATTCTCAAAAACTGAAGAGTCACTAGAATAGCATGCTGAATAACGCCTAGATGTGAATTAAGGTGATGCTGGAGGGGGGTAAGGGAAGAGATACGACTGGGATCATAAAAAGGCTAATAATAACTGGAAAAGAGTGGAGCGTACGAGGATTCCTTTCCATCATGATCCGATTTTTGATATGGTTGCCCCCCCACCCTCTCCTACCACTGCTTGGGCTCATATGAACTGTATTTAGAAATAGCCTCCGGTCTTGAGCTGGCCAACAAGAGAATGCTGTAAAGCGCAATACCCCTGCTAGCCACCATGGTCTGGCCCATCGGGTTCTTTGAAATAAAACAAATCGAAATGTTTTTTTTCTCACAACTCACAATCATGTCATTAGTAAAATGATATGTAAATTATAATGCCATTAAATGGATTTTAAGCCTATATAATACACTTTTAGTTCACTTTCAAGATCATTATGGTTTGGACAAAACCCTGAGTTACCTTGCTGAAGTCATGCTTATGCAGACTTAAAAATTGCACAATATTTATCCAAGTAGACTACATGCACATAACTCTATTAATGTTTTAATGACACGCTTAAGACACTGGAATCCTGTACAACAGGGCTGTCCAAAGTCGGTTCATGAGGGCCGCTGTCCTGCAGGTTTCCCTAATTCACGTCAATGTCCCTTCAGCAGGCTTCTGCGGGGCTTCTGAATGAATCCATCTAGTCGGAGTCAGGATTCAGGAACGAAGACCGGAGTTTGACACCCTTGCTCTACACTTTGATGCAGTTAGCTTAGCTTGAAATGTGTCGTCTTGTTAGATTGTCTTTGGCTAACCTTGCTTTCTAAAAGAGAAACAATTTCCCTGTGCAGAATCCGAACTGCATTGTTGCAAGTCAGTTTTTTCCCAATGAGAATATCATTTCAATTTCAAAATGTTGAATCCTCAGTAAACTTCATTCAACTGAGGAAACAAATCTTTCTTTCGACATTGCATTGTTTTCCTTCCTAACCCTTACACTTTAGGACCACTTGCCTAAGTTGAGGCGTGGTTTAAAAAAAAAGAATTTCGAAGGTGTCCAGGAGTGTCTTGTAATAGGATCTTGGCAAAGGATCTATTGGATCCTTGAGGTTTTGAGCGAGGTCTTCTTGTATGGGACCCGTCTCCCACAGATACCACCAGAATAGTATCCTGAGAGGTTGCAAGCTTTTCTTTGGAGAAATGCACAGAAAAACGCTTGGATACAAAATACCAAAATAGCAGTCTGCCGTCTGCACACGCTCACACTATGTTCTGCATGTTGAACAGCCACAGGAAGCGTGTTTACCTTGTTATGCAAGTGCACTGAAAATTTATGACAACGACGGACGCAAACAGTTTTGGCACGGTGCCCGTTGGACCAGTCTGAAATACCACCCCGTTGTCCTTGTTTGAAGTCCGTTTGCATGTCCACGTCAGACGAGGGCTTAGAGCAGACAGCATGTGCTCACATGCTTGTTACATGTCCGTTTAATTCTGTCCTCAACACTCAGCATCATTCCTTTATGAGGGCACCTGTATGTGTATGTGCCCCACTGGGCGATTACATAGGGTAGTTCAACACATGTATATGACAACAATTCATAATTTGACACAAATCCATCAAAAACTCTTTGACTCATTCAGCTAACTAAGAATAACAAGCTTTGTACACCTTGGTGGAGGCACATAGCCATTTTCCACCCAAAGAAAAATTATTTTTGTTTTCCGTACATGATAAAAGTTTCCTTTTTTCCAAGGTTTTGTGAGCTGCATCAACCTGATACTGAAACATCGTGTCTAATTTTGTAACTTATGCGATTATATTGTTTAACGGTTACTCTCACTAAACAGTAGTGAAATGGTTTTGACTGATTTAGCTTTTTTCGACTGGAGTTTCACTCTCCGCAGAAATAACGTGGTCGTCAATTCCGATTCATGTGCTTGTTCGGACCCACAAATGAAAATAATCGCTGGTTTCACCCACTCTTTCAGGGTTTTTTCCGGCGGACCATCCGTCTGAAGCTGGAGTATGACAAGTGCGAACGCCGCTGCAAAATCCAAAAAAAGAACCGCAACAAGTGCCAATACTGCCGCTTCCAGAAGTGCCTGGCAGTGGGCATGTCCCACAATGGTGAGTGCGCCAGCTTGGTCACGCACAAACATCCACAGTGTGCGTGTGTGTGTGTGTTTTCTTCTTTTTTATACTCTTAGACACACAACAGGGTGGTACTCTTTATTGAAGAGACATGGATGAAGTATTATTAAAAAGATCTAACCCCACTGTAAGGTGGAGAGTTTTACGTCATGGATGTACGCGCTCCCAAACATTTATCCGCTAAAAACATTTGAGACAATCCCTGTTCTCTCCGGGTGGCTCTGACAGCCTGATTCTGTTCTTTCCTGCCCGATGCTCAGGGTAAGGCCTGGTAACAATGATTCAGAATGTCTGAAACTGGATGTTCTCTCCATTTCTTTTGGCCCCGTGCATCCAGTAGCTGTAACATTTTGAGCAATGTCTGGGTTAGTGTAACAGACTTTGCTACAAAGCATCTGTTTGAGAGCTAGAACTTACAGGGGTTTTCCATCAGTACCCACGCAGTGTATTAGGACACACTAACCAACACCACAGGATGCTCTTCATTGTTGTCTCTTGTTCTTATGTCGCATACAAATGACATCACAGGGCAGTTGGCCATCTCTCTGGTGGGACTTAACCTCTTAATCTCTTAAATTTAATTATTTTTTAAAGCTTTTGCATAATCTTGACAACAGACAGCTCTCCAAAGCGGATATTTAATGTTTGAAATGTTTATTTTCGCCTTTTGTTGTCACTGACTTGACTCATGCCATAAGCATTTCTGAGTCCCTTGTAAGACAGAAATATTGAAGGTGGGGGATGTTTGGGCTGTTCCCCCGACAAATGTGGCCCACTAACCTCGCGTCAAATTCAGCCATTAATAGAAAACCTCCCAGAGGCAGATTCTGGGGCTAAGGTTTGTGTTTATGTGGCTGAAGTGGAGGCACACGCTGGTGCATTACTGCGCCCCATCAAAGCCAACGCTCAAATCCGCCGTAGTTTTTTGGTTTTTCTGGCGGTGAACTTCTGAACTGAACGCCGTTGTTTTGCCTCAGTGACTTGATTGATTCAAGAGCCTTCCAAATGCACCTCGAAGCTGCGGCAGTTCTGTAGTAGCACCTCTGTCAGCTGCACTTCCTCTTCCAGTGTATGTCTCCGGTTTCATTGACCTAAATGTACGTATGGAGAAGTAGCATAGTCATTGGAGACAAGTGCAACTTGATCTTTTGAGGTCTGATATAGTAGGCCCTCTGTGTGCTTGTATTGACCGGTCGGTAATTGATTCCACAGTTAAATTTCCCTACTACTACTTTTATTTACAGTGTTGGCTTTCACGCTTTGCATCATTTATTCACGATAGACAGCAGGCAGGTACTTACTTAAGGCTCCTTGGGTTCAGTAACTTTATACCTCGCATCTCAGTGTCCGAAACAGATGATTCAACAGCCTGCCCCCCGCCCACCTTTAGCTCCCTCACCCTTACCGTACACACTTATCTCCTCGTACTCGGCTTTTAGGAAGTGGACTTATGCTGAGCTTAGCATCAATCACTTCTACACATCGTAATTAGTCTTGGCTGCTGCTCAGACCTCAGATGATCTCCATCCACTTTGTGAGCTGTAAGCTAATGAGGCCTCGGGGTGCATGCAAAGGCAGCCCCGTTCGGTATTCTCCGACCGGACCCGCAAATCTGTGAGCGAGGATCATAATAAAACCCCCCTTAAAGTTTTCATGGTATCGTAAAGGCAGGGTGCCGCTGGGTGCTGCGATATCAGCATGAGTGTGTGCTGTTTACCAGTGTGTGTGTGTGTCCACCAGCTTGTGCCCATTAAATCCATTAAGACCTAAGGCACCCTCTTAACATGGGTATATTCCCACTCATATGTTGCATTAGGTCTTAATGGGTTAAACTAATGAGGCAGGGTCAAAGACGGGTCACTTCTAATCATCATTGTAAGTCAAATAGGATCAGCGCCTCTAAGAAATACGTGCATCCCCTGACAGTAGTAATGAAAAGCTGGCTCTGCATTCTCTTACTGGAGAATTTGTCTCAATTTATTATTTTTTTAAAATCAGATATAGTGCTTAATTCATTCACATTTCCAAAAAGTCCATTCATATTTATTTTACAATTTTACTTATGCATACCTTGTGATTTCTATTTATTTTTGTGTCATTTCAGATGTGTTTACCATCATGATAAATCATGCACATACCTGCCTGATCTTTTTTAACTTCACATTTTTATTTCTTTGGAAGAAAACCAGGTTCACCAGTGATTTCTATATACATCCAGTCTTAAGTGTAATCAGATATTGTCTTCATAATGCCAGATTAACAGAACCAAATCAGAACAATACGACTAAAATTGTTGTTTCTGGTTAATGATTTGAAGAGGAATGTTGTAGGATATTACTTTTAGAGGAGTGACAAAAGTGTGTAGATACAGAATATGAGCTCAGTCTGAAAGTTCGATTAAAGACATTGAGTTGACAGAGGTGCATCATGACATGACTTAAGAGGACTTGTGAGGAAAAGAGCTGTTGATTATGCTGGACAAAGGTTGCAAAACCATGTGTAAAGAATTGATTTATACTTAGAACACTACAGTGGAAAGAGAAGAACTTCAATATCGTTGCATTCCCTGAGGGCGGTTGATTAGAAAAGATCATTCTAAGAGCAAAGTGTATCAAAGTCTGCAAGGTCTCAAAGGAACTTCTAATCAAATGAAAGCCTCACAGTGGCTGAAAATGTTAAGGACTCAACAGTCTAAATGCTGAACGGCAATGGTGTGACTGGCCAGTAAGGGGCTCTGTGGTGCCCAGCAATAAGTATCCACGTCTGACTACAGGCTGGGGAATGATTGAGGGAAAAAGGGCAAGGAAATGTCACAATTTGCTGATATTTCAAAAGATTTTCCAAACTTTCAAACGCCACTTTCTGAAAAGCCATTTAAGAGTGAATATATGCCGAGATTCAGCATATGTTTTATTCAAGATCCTCTTGTTTTCAAAGCCCAATTCCCTCAAAATAATGAAATTATACTTATTGAGGCAAAAAGATACTGTCCATAGATGGTAAACAGACAGGGTTCCTAATAAGATCAAGACTCATCCAAGAACTTCTCTTCTTCTTTGCTTTTTTATGTGTGTGTCTGTGTTTTATTGGTTGAGAGGGATGGTTGTTTGCATTCCATTCTTAGCATTTTCTGTTATATGTGCGACAGTATAAATGTTTTACATTTCCACAAAGGCATTTCAACTACACCTCCTGTATCCTCTTCACAGCCATCCGGTTTGGTAGGATGCCCCAGTCTGAGAAGCTAAAGCTGAAGGCAGAGATGGTGACAGGGGAAATGGTAGTGGAGGACCCCCACCTGGCTGACCAGAAGACCCTGGCCAGGCAGATTTACGAGGCCTACCTCAAGAACTTCAACATGAACAAGGCCAAGGCTCGGACCATCCTCACTGGCAAGACCAGCACCCCTGTACGTTGACTAAGAGTGGTGGGTTGGTGAGTGAAAGGTGGATTACATGATTATGGCCAGAGTTTCCTCATACTTTAATGTATTTTACTGTATTTTTTTCCCCCAGCAGAGGAGTTTCAATCACATTTTAAGCACGCTGGACATTTGCAATCAGAGTAATGTCTCAATGTGGCCTGAAGTTCAGTTAGAGATTACACGCAGTCAGCAAATGACCAAAAAAAATGACTTGCTCAATCTGGAAAGAATCCCATCTCGCAGACCGGACAGCGAAATGTCTGTTTGCGCAAAAAACGGCATAAAGAGTCAGTGTATGAAGCCGACACGTGTTGCTTCACCACCACCTCCTCATGCCTTTGCTAAGTTCATCACCACCCCTCCCTTCCTCCGAAAAAAAGAAGCTTTTCCTCACTTTCCTTTCATTTTGGGGGTTGAGGTTGAGCAAGAGAAGGTCAGCAAGTGCAGCTCACTGGCAGTTTGAATCCAGTGAAAAAGTGTGTGTGTGTGGGTGTGAAACGGGTCAGGAGGGACAGGTCAGTGCAAGTGCACATCCGTGTTCCACCTCCCGTCTTACCCACTGACTCTGGAGTTCAAAGCCTCTGGTGAAATGCAGCAGCTGGAGAGCACTCAGTTTGCCTTGAACATGTTTATCCACCCTTCCATTTCGGATTTCTTTCCCAGTATCATGGCGATTTGCCACGTCTTCTTGCACTTCGTCGGAATATTAATTGAATGTTTTTTCGCTGCTGATGCTTCCACTGTGAAAAGCTTTAATCCCTATGCTCGCTCCTCAGTTCCAACTCTGGGAAGAATCCTACAAGATCTGTGCACACTGCTCAAGAGAGAAGCCAGACTTAACAAAGAAGGATCATAATTATATCATCATTATATCTCTTAGTATCTTCCCGAGACGTGGTATGTTCGCTGCTGGGAGTGACACAAATGGGCTCTGTATATACCCACCTGGAATATGACAAACAGCTCCGCCCTCTCAGTGGGTGTTGGCTGAGTTGTAGTAAATATCTGATCAGCTAGCTAAAGTGGACTAAGTCTTCTTTGGTTTGCTGATCTGCAGACTTTTCCTTCAGTGAAACAGACGCGCTTTGTTTTTAGGACCAACTGCTGGGCTGCTGGCATACTGTACAAATATCAGTGAGCTCGAATAGAGGCTAACAGTATCCATTATGCCTCGGAATATATTTTCTGTAAACACTGGATGTACGGTGTGGGTCTGTGTCGGCTGAGATGGGCCAAACATTGTTTCGAGGCACACAGAAACTGAGATTAGGAACAAAATGTTTACAAAAGCGTTCGGAGGTTAAGAAGAACAAGACGTGCAATATTTTCATGATATCAGGTTAGAGTTTTGATCAGAAGGTCAGATCTTGGCCGTAGCCTCCATATGTTTTTTCTTTTGTTTTTAAGGATATAAAGTGACTTCTTATTCGTCGTCAATAAAAAAGCAATGAAGGACAATGCTGGACTCGCTGCTTATAGGTGGATGAAGGTTGTGTGTTGACGGAATACGTAATCAAACAGCTCAGCGACATGTTCTTCATACCTTACCGTGGAACTGTGTCCTACTATTAGAGCGGTAATCATCACCCAGAACTCCGGCCTGACGTGCAGCAGCAGGTGGAGCCGCTCACCCGCTGTGAGAGGGAACGGTGACATTGCTGAAAAGCCCTTCAGCTACCTCCAACGCCATTGTCTGCTTAACGTCTGGACATCGTTTTTATTCTGAAGACGCGTGCTGGTCAGTTAGGTTGATGCTGATACACAGATATGTTTTGGACTGAAACTGGAAACGCCTGAGTCAGCGATGAGCAATAGATCCCTGAACAAACCGCTCTGTGCCGTGGACAGTCCCTCCCTTTCCTTAGAATCCAGTCTCCAACAGACTGATTCAGCTCAGCTGTCACAAAGAATGGTTCAAGAAGTCCTTCTCACCGTTCACCATCAGTCTCTTTAACAGTTCTCAAATTGGAGACAGATTAAACTGTTTTTACGAAAACTTATTCTTATTAATATTAATCATTATAATTGTTTACTCTTGTCTAAAACTGTATTTATTGTGGTGTTGCTGCTGCATCAAAAGAATGTCCTCTTGTGGGATTTAATACAGTACTTTGAATTTAAATTAATTGAATATTCCCTTTCAAGGTTTGTGTGGTTGTGTCACCTTCCTGCTCGTGCTTTGTGGTGAGGGCAAATAAACCTCTGAGTGTTTTGAGTCGCATCCGTAAATATGTCAATGCCAGAGCAAAGGAGGGTAAATGTATAGGGCTGAGCATTTTGGCCTTTCATCTACTAAGGATTACATGTAAACAGCCGGTTACTGATGCTCAGAGGTGTGCTGATTCAGTGCTTTCCGTGTTTATGTTGTAAAAGCGAGGCCACGGCGTTTTCCGAGGGCCAAACCCCTTGGAACACTCTGCCCCGCACGTGTGACATTTCCTAGAGGAGTACATATCTGAGCTCGCCTTTTTTGGCTGGTATTGACGCGTCTTCCTCCCCTGCCCGCAGCCCTTCGTCATTCACGACATGGACACGCTCCAGCTGGCGGAGCAGACCTTGGTGGCCAAGATGGTGGGCTCCGCCGGGACCCTGAAGGACCGGGAGGCGGAGGTTCGGATTTTCCACTGCTGCCAGTGCACGTCGGTGGAAACCGTCACGGAGCTCACGGAGTTCGCCAAGTCCGTCCCGGGGTTCTCCAACCTGGACCTCAACGACCAGGTGACTCTGCTGAAATACGGCGTGTACGAGGCCCTCTTCGCCATGCTGGCCTCCAGCATGAACAAGGACGGGCTGCTGGTGGCCTACGGCTCGGGCTTCATCACCCGGGAGTTCCTCAAGAGCCTGCGGCGGCCGTTCAGCGACATGATGGAGCCCAAGTTCCAGTTTGCCATGAAGTTTAACGCGCTGGAGCTGGATGACAGCGACCTGGCTCTGTTTGTGGCCGCCATCATCTGCTGCGGAGGTGAGGACCAAAACAAGGATGACGAGCTTTCATACGATAAAAGAAAAAAGGTTAAAGTCTGACAGGGTGATCCTGCATGAAGCCTTCTTTTTAAATACAGCCCAGAGTGGTCAGAGTTCCTGAGTCACCCAGGTTGATCTCGTTCTCTCTCTCCTTAGACCGTCCAGGCCTGGTGAACGTGTCGCACATCGAGGCCATGCAGGAGAGCATCGTCCAGGTTCTTCAGCTCCACCTGCTGGCCGGTCACCCGGACGACGCGTTCCTTTTCCCCAAGCTGCTGCAGAAGCTGGCCGACCTCCGGCAGCTGGTCACCGAGCACGCGCAGCTGGTGCAGGAGATCAAAAAGACTGAGGACACATCGCTGCACCCACTCCTACAGGAGATCTACAGAGACATGTACTAGGCTCTGTTTTAGTCAGGGACTCGAGAGGGGGGACGCGTCCTCCCGTAAGCTAGGGCTGAACCACTTTACCCACCCCGTCTCCGAAAATGCATCAGTTGATGAGGACTTGTTTAGGCTGAGGAGGTGGGTGGGGTTCTCTTGGTCGACGCGGTGCTCAGCACTCCATTGCGTGGGCGTCCCAAGAGAGCAAAAAAATATAAAAAAAGAAGCTAAATCCCAGATGCTCTGATGTCTGATGTAGACACTAGTGAATGCAATCTCTGACCAAACTCAACACGCTAGTTTGAGGTGATCTTCTGGGTTGTCCCAAACCCTCGGCAAGCCCCTTAAAATGAGGAAGGAAAAGCAAACTTTTGAGAATGCCACTCCAGTAGCCTGTTTGAATATAGCCGTTTATATTGATGTTGCAGGGCAAAGAGCCATATACCGTTAAAGACATTGAGACACCTATTACTTCACTGGCAGCGGCAGCAGAGCTGGTGCACTTTTGTAAAGCAAGGCAGCTTCTGTTGAATCAGCCGCCAATGAAAAGGAGGTGATGAAGCAGATATAAAACACCAGCTCTCCATCGTCTTTAAACAGCCAGACACACCTGTGGTTTTTTAGCAGGCTCCTCAGCACAATCGTCTTTTTGTACATCAAGCCATTCTTTGTGTTCCAGATTCTTTTTATTCTTCTTGACAAAAGAGAAGAAGAAAAAAAAAACGCACGCCCCAAACCACCAACTAAACGAGCAGTCGTGAGTTTACAGAAAAAAAAACTAACACGGTGAAGAAGACTGTTGAAGACTGAAATAATCACAGGCCCACTTTGTGCTTTGTCTCTGCGGCCAATCAGGAGCACAAACACACCCACGCCACGTTCATTATTGCTGGATTTCAGTTAAGAAAGCCCCTTTTTTTTTCCTTTGCAGTTGTTCGACACTCCATCCCGTGTTGTGTCATTGTATTTTCAAAAGCTAACTTAAAGATTATTCACATTTCAACCTTAACACAGTCACACTCAAGTCGTTCTAATTAATTTAATCTTAGAAACACAACAGACACCTGAAGAAGACAGCAGCAATCTCAGCCCCTCAGTCAAAGGTACAAAGGGTATTTCCCCTTTGAAATCCTTTTTTGTGTCCTATTTTTTCTATTATCATAATTATATTCACACAACATGCAGTTGCACTTCCTCATATAATCACTGCAGTCATTTTAGTATGATTAATTCTTTCCAAATAAAGTTTTTCAAGTAGTCTCATGAAAATTCCTGCTCTTTTTTTTGTATTACCAATATTTAGTGAGAATATTGCCATGTCGTTTTTGTTTTCTAATATCGTGCAGCCCTAATGACATTGTGGTTTGTTGTCTAAACAGAGTGTTGTGTACATAGCTGAGGTGATCACAATGACTGCTTGCCCCAACTTTTAACTTGTGACCCACACGAGGAACTGATGGTGATCCGCTTCTGTGTTCTTCGCGGTTTGGTTAACACTTTAAATTTTAGGGGTGAATTTAGTCATCTACTGTACTTTTTTTTTTTTGCTTTAACGACACATACTCGTGTTTTAATTGAAATAGATCATATTTTTATACTAAAGTGTGTATGTATGACTAAATCAGATGGCATTTTATTTGAAATGGCGTGATTTAAGAATGCTTTGTAAGATTAGGGTGTGAAAGGGCAATTGCGAATCAAAGCATCTGTAGGCTGTTCAGAGCTGTTCTCACTCACAACTGTCGATGAATAATCCAAACTTGACTCCATGATCTTTGATTCTATTTCAACGTGAAATTTGAGGCTGCAACTTACCAATGACTGATCTCCTCTCCTCAGCTTTCTCAGGTGGCACGTTAGTGTAGAAATAGAGTATATGCACAGATTCATCCGTAATATCAAAGCCGATATAAAAAAAACAAAAAAACAAGCAGTATGTTTTCACACATCATGCCTAGCAGAGAGACAAAATGCGCTCACACTTTGCCACCACGTCACGTGCTACTAAAGCGTAGACAATGCAGTAATGTAAGCCTAGACCATGCTGTTTTACGCTCCTGTTTTCTGTTGGACTTTCCCTGCTCACTTGCTGCTACGTTGTACTCACCCACTAAGCCTCTCTCCTGCCACGAGTAGATTATCGACCTTCAAGCTGCCTCAACTTACCTATCATATGCCATCTCCGAATGCCAGACCCATTCAGAGAGTTCAATAAATGCAGCTCAGTTTTGTTACCTCTCAGAACCCACATGTGCTTGATGATTTACCACAAACAAGCGTGTGCCTTAGCGTGTGGAAATGCCGACGTCGGAGTTTGTGGAAAAAGAATAAAATCCTTTTTTGTGGGGTCCCTTAAACACAAAGTGATGCGACTGTACATTTAGGAGGAGAGTCACTGTTGTCTATTTTGATCACAAAGACAAACGAGTTGGAAAGGAAAAAAAAAAAAAGACAGCCTTTGAAGCTAAACAGAAAATGGTTAAAACGGCACAGCAAAACCCAACAAGAGAAGTCACATACATCTGTGGTGCTGGTTTACTTTTAGAGATGTCTGTTTGTGTAGAAATGACAAGGGACTTTTTTTTTTTTTTACTTGCATCAGGGAATCTTAGTCTTCCTTTGTTGAACTAGCTCAGGATTTAAAAAGGTACTGTTATCCTTCTGTCTTTCTTGTCCAGTCTAAAAATAAGTATATAGTGCTCTGCCTTAAAGCACACAAACACAAGTAACAGCTTTGATTTATACTAACTTCTTTTTTTATATTTCCCAGAACTGACAGATAATTAAATTGGGGGGCAGCAGTCATCTAAGAATTAGATATTTGATTTATTTCTCTTCCCTGACCTTCATGGAGTTTGTTTTTGTGTCTTTAGAGTTGTGCAAAAAGGCAGAGACTGTCTTTGGAATTGTTGCGTGTACTATGGCTTGATAACAATACTGTAAATGTTTGATGAATGTATATTTAGTCATTTAAAAAATACGACAAATTGACATTGAATGGATTTCAAAAATAAAATAAAAAAAATCTTAAAATAAAAACTTTCTTCTTCTTTTCTTTTTATTCTCCAGAGCTTGATTTCTACAGTTTAAAATGTTACATGGACTCTGTTGACTAAATCTCTCTTTAGACTTTAAATATAGGAGCTGTAATTGTGTAATTTAACCACCTAAAATCACTTCTTAAATAAGAATTGAATTAAAAGGAAATAACTTAGTTAATTCAGTAAAATGTATAGAAAGTTGCCGTGGGTTCAGAGTTTGAATGATAATATTTTTTATAAAAATATCTAAAAACACTCACCGCTTTCAGATAGTTTAAGGGAGGATAAACAAAAACGAAGACTAATTCATGTCTAAAGCAACTCAAGTAAACAAATATCAACTCTGTGGCTTCAAATCGCTTAAGCTGTAGCTTTTTCCCCCAGTTTTGCCTGAAAAAGGCCATAAAAATCGCACTTTCTTGTCCCGGGTCCACCTGCCGGTGGCTGCGCTGAGATCCGGTGCGCTAGAGGGCGCTCTAATCCCGCCAAACGGTGAAAAAAAAAACCGCTCCGCCTCCGTCTTCTTCTCACATTGTCCAACATGGCGGCCTCCATGGCGAGCGTCTGCCGTTATGCTCGGCGGTACGGACCCTGTATCTTCCACAAGCAAAAACGCCTTTGCCTCCGTGTTTCGTCTGAGCTGCACTGCTCCTCCCCGGTACACGGCGGGCTGCTGCTCTCGCTACACAAACGCGGCATTTTAAAGGAGTTGTTCCCGGAGGGCGCCGCGCAGGACCGGCTCCCCGCACTGCTCCGCTCCGGTCCTCAGACCGTGTACTGCGGCTTCGACCCCACCGCCGACAGCCTCCACGTGGGCAACCTGCTCGCCATTATCGGCCTCCTCCACTTCCGAAGCGCGGGTCACAACGTGGTCGCCGTGCTCGGCGGGGCCACGGCGCAAATCGGGGACCCGAGCGGGAAGACGACCGAGCGCGAGCGCCTGTCCGCGGACGTCGCGGAAAGGAACGCGCGCGGCATCCGGGAGAGCGTGCAGAGGATTTTCGCCAACCACGAGGTCCATTTTCACGACGGCTCCAGGACGCTGGGCACCGCGGCCGTGCTGAACAACCTGAGCTGGTACAAAGGCTGGAGCGTGGTGGACTTTCTGTCGCAGGCCGGAAGGCACTTCCGGATGGGCACCATGCTCAGCCGCCACAGCGTCCAGTCCCGCCTGAGGAGCGCAGACGGTATGAGCCTGACCGAGTTCACCTACCAGGTGTTCCAAGCCTATGACTTCCACCACCTCCACCAAATATACGGCTGCAGGATTCAGCTCGGAGGCACCGATCAGCTGGGCAATTTGATGTCCGGACATGAATACATTCACAAGTAAATGCCCGTCCAGCTTCACGCCAAGGCCCGTTAGGAAATCTGTAAACTGGCTGTGTATTGTTGAGCATGGGGTGTTTGTAGGCAATCTAAAGGCTGACCACATGTCACATTCGATCTATTGGGAGCCACTCTACAGTTCGGCATCCATCCTTTCCTATAGCACCCCCTTTTTTCAAATGTATTTTATATATGATTTGGTATTAATCAGATTACTACTTGTTACTGGCATATAGAGGAAAACAACCCTTTGAAACTGGGGTTCAGATAAATGGTCATTTTGACAGTTTTAATGAAAGTTAATCTGATTCTACCCTTAAAGTTTAGTTAAATGGTTTTTTGTTACATTTTTTCCTTCAGGGGGAATTGAAGAATTGTTCACATGATGACTTTGATGTGGATAATGTTTGGTAACTGTAACTAATCAGGGCTCCCAGAGTGGCAAGTTTCTTGTTTTACTTCTCAAATACTAGAGAATAGGAAAAGAAATCCCACACTTTAAGAATGGTTTGTGACTTTTTAAGCGGGCAGCTCGTTCAGAAATCAGTCCATGGCTACTGCCAAGGTCCCAGCTGTTTGGTTTGGTGTTCCCATGACTGAACTGTAACACTGAGGTCTCTGTGTATCCAGAGTGAGCGGTGAGGAGGTGTATGGCCTCACCATCCCGTTGGTAACGAGCTCTGTTGGAGACAAGCTGGGGAAAACGGCAGGAAACGCCGTGTGGCTCAACAGAGACAGGACGTCCCCCTTCGATCTCTACCAGTTCTTCCTCAGGCAGCCGGACTCCAGCGTTGAGGGGTGCGTAGATAAGAGGGCAGACGAGGCCTCTTGGCCTCTGAAGCTTTGATCAATGTCCAGTCCGCTGCGTTTAAGTGCAATGCGATGAAAACAGTCCGTGGCTCACGGGAGAGGACGCTGAGGTGTGTGGTATCCACATGTCGCAGGTACCTGAAGCTTTTCACCTTCCTGCCTCTGGCAGAGGTGGAGAAGCTGATGGAGCAGCAGAGAGAGGACCCCAGCAAACGCCTGGCACACAAACGACTGGCGGCGGAGGTGACCAAGCTGGTGCACGGAAAGGAAGGCCTGGAGAGCGCCAAGAGGTCAGAAGGGTGCTGTGTGTGTGTGCATTTATTTAGAAATAGCAGTTTTTTGTTTGTCACGTAGTTGTTTAAAGATTTTTTCTATTGTGAACCCATGGTATGCTTTGATTGAAAAAGCTTTCCGTGTAACTACTGATAGTCTACATCTTGCCTATGATGGGAGAGGGCAGTTTTTTTTCTCCTCCCCTGGTGTTTGTTTTCTAAGTCGTGTTTATGGTTGCAGATGCACCAATGCGCTCTACCACAGCAGCGTGCAGGCCTTGGAGGAAATGAGTGATGAGGAGCTTCAGGAGCTCTTCAGGGAGGCTCCTTTCCACGAGCTGCTGTTGGAGCCCGGGACCACTGTGATTGACGCCTGCCGCCAAGTCAACGCCATCCCCGACGGACCCAGAGGGTAGGCAACCCCGTCCTCCCCAAACAACCAAACAAGATGGAAAAAAGGATGAAAATGAAAGGGCCGAACAGACCTGATCTCTATGAACACAAATAGGTTTTAGATTGACTGCTAGGTTTCTATTGTACTGAAGGTTCTTAGCCTTTGCAGACGTACAGATGTTTAGTTCTCCAAAAAGCGACAAAGCTAACGCTGTATGCTGGTTTACTTCCTGATAACTACCCTGAACCAGGAGGAACCAACAAAAGAGACAAAGTTCTGGTTGACTTCTGTCTTTTCCACAGCAGAGCAAAGCAAATTACCAACAGCAGCAACGACACAAGCGTCCCACAGCTCGAATTGCTTCCTCGTTAGTCAGTTACCTGAAGCTAGTTTGATACCAGACTCACCTTGGCTATATTGGAATTTATTCTGCCTGGTTGTTTATGTGCTAAGCTGACACCAGACTCCAAACCAAAGGGAAACATTCTGAAGAGTATCAAACAGCTGTTTATTGGCTCACATCAAGCTGAATAGCTATAGCTTGAGACATTCTATTTAGCTTGATTTACAACTTTAATTGATATTGATAAAGCTTCCTTAACAATAGGAGTATGTTTTGCCTTATATAAATATAAGCAATAAAACGGTATCTGAAACTAAGTTTAAAAACTATCCTAGTTTGTGATAGATTTGGCTACTTTAGCTATTGAACCAACGTATCTATGGAGGATGGATATATTACTGGCTACACATGGTGAATGTTGTCTAGCTCTCTGACATCTTAGATTCTTTTTGTGATTTTTGGATGGGTTTTATGTGATTAAACCCTGTAAAAAAGCAGGGACCACTTCAGGTTACACCCCATAGCGCCATACTGCCCTCTACTGGACAAAAGACATTAATTATTACTAGACACAGTTGGCCTACTCTCTATCAATTAAAGAATTTCTTCAAACTTATAGGAACCGAAACAAAGGCAATAAAAGCAAATGGTTATTCAAGGGTTATGTTCATGAATTGGCAGGGATAATAAATAGGAGTATGATACAGAACTCCCCGGCTGATTCGATGATATGTGTGCGGTGGGGCACAGTGGGATCTGCACATGGTTTAAAACTGCATCAGATCAGACGGGTTAATAACAACACAACATTCTCCCAACCGGCCCTCGCCGTCTGTCTGCAGGTACCAGATGGTCTCGGACGGGGCGGTGTGGATCAACCACAGGCGGGCCGACAATCCAGAGAGTGTCCTGATCCCCAAACTCCACATCCTGTCCAACGGACTCACGCTGCTCAGAGTGGGCAAGAAGAACTTCTACATCATCAAGTGGCTCAGTCTGTGAGCGGTCCGGATCAGGCAAACTAGACTGTAGACTGTAAAGGTCTGTGGGGGGAAGGTAGGAAACTAAACCTCAGCAAGAGCATTGAGGACGCTTTGATGGACTCATTTCCTACCCCTTGTCATTTGTCTTCTAAATATGTACCTGAACAGATATGTTTATCAGAATCACTGTAATTAAAAAGATAATTTAATTGACAGATTGTGTTCAGCTGATTTTGTGTGACTGTAGATGGTTTAACGGGCTGAACACTAGAGGGTACCATTGTCCCAGAGCTGGTCTGCCAGTGGCCTCAGCTGCACCGTGAATCTGCAGTGACCCTTTAAAGTAAATAATTGCTCACAGTAAAACCAAAATTGCATCAGTTTTTTTTTTCTCAAAGACACAAGTTTCGTGTTTATTTTTAGCCAACTGTGCCATTGTTTGATTCAAATATTTTCCCAAGTTTCTTCTTAATTTGGCTGTTTTTCTTTTTTTTTCTCTCCAAAGGGTAGAAGGTGTGAAACCAAAATATTTTTTATTTCCTAAATACATATTTAGGATAAACAAATTTGGCTTCATTTTGCCTTTTTAGATATCACAAACTGACAATGGTGGATTTTGAAGCCTGGTGGAGGATTTTCCTGTGTGTGTTGAAAGTTTTCGTTGTGGTGTAAATGGAGATTTCTAACTTTCAGCACATTGAGCCTTTTTGAAGCCTTTTATTTTTTTAAAGTTTCCCTTTTTCTATTGATAATTTTCACCTTTATGGACCTCTCGTGTGCAGGACTTTCTACCACTGATGCATCTGTCCTCTCTGGGTGCTGATAAGGACAAGATCTGCTGTGTGCTGACCATGACCCTCTCCTCTCAGGTCCATATTAGTGGTAAAAATCATGATATAAAGAAACTTATCTGTCCATCCAGCAGAATTAGCTATTTTCTGTTTTTGGCGACCATCTGATGGGTTTAAAATGGTGTTAGGGTACTCCTATTTTTACAGAGGGCCCACAACTGCAATTACCGAAATATAATCTTTTAAGGTGGAATTGTACATTCTTGTGTATTCGAAGTGTTTTGTTAATCCTGTGACTGCTTGGATTGAAGCAAAAAAGAATAAATGTGTCATTTGTAAAAAGTTTTAATATAATGGATATCTTCAGCTGTAAGATGTTAGTCATGTTTTAAACAGTGTATAATGTTTTTTTTTATGTCTTTAGGTTTGGAAGCTAATGTCATCCAGGTAATAATTCAGAGCTGCCTGAAGGTGATCAACATGGGCATAGCCTATTTTTCCTCTTCAAATATTCTCCTTGCTTTATTTTAATTTTAAGAGGACTTTTTGACAATCACGCTGCATGTGAAGAGAGGCACATTCTTTTACGTCAAACATTTCCTCTGAAACTAAGTATTTCATCGAGAAAAAACAACCGTCCTGAAGGGATGGCGACCTGCTGTAACTAGACGGTCCACCTTAACAGAAATGGGCGGGCCAACGCCTTCCAGCCAATGAGCGATCTTCTTTGTATTTAAATAGCTCTGCGTGTCAATCATGTCTCCCCCCCCCCTCCCTCCACCACCACCACCACCTCACCTCCTCCCTCTCAGCCAGCCTTCCCTCAATCCCCTCAACATCTCTCAATCGCCATATTGGGTACCGAGAGGGTTGTCTGCAGCTACGCTCACACCGGGACCAAATTGACAGAGCGGCTTCAGTTCCCGAGCACTTTGTTTTGATGATTCGCGGAGACCATCTTCGGCTCCAGAACACCGCAGCCGTTAGCGCCCACGACGCGGCGTATGCATGGCATAAGTCGTTTCACGCCTGTTTCGGATCTTTTTCCCGTGACGAGGAGATACCCGTTGTTGTTTTTCTAGCGGTGCGTTATTCTTCTGAAAGCTGGACGCTCCTGGCCGCTTGAAAATTCGTGCCATTTTTTTTTTTTTTGTTTGTTTGTTTTCCTTTCCGGGGTGGTTACAATGTCAGATGTTCGACTTTCAAACGGGAGCCCGACGTTGGAGCGGACCGACCCCCGGCTGCCGGAGCACCCGAAGCCGTCAGCCTGCAAGAGCCTCTTCGGCCCCGTGGACCACGAAGAGTTAAAGAAGGATTTTAATGCACATTTGCGGGAGCTGGAAGAGGCTGCCGCCGCCAGGTGGGACTTCGACTTCGCCAACGACCAACCGCTGGCCAACGGCAGGCTCCAGTGGGAATTAGTGGAGCACAGCTCGGTCCCGGATTTCTACTCCCGGCCACCGAGGGAGAATGGCGTTTGCTCTGGGAATAACAATGTGGATCATAACGGGAATCACCATTGCGATGGAATGGCTCAAAGCGAAGAGACCAGCAGAGCTGACAGTCAAATGGAGTGCACGGAACAGTCCAGCGGGCCGAGGAAAAGATCCGCATGCCACGGTACTACACTCGCATGACGTCTGCCGTGTTTTCGCACAGGCAGCCCGGGGCTCAGCGGTCACTCGCGGAGTGTTTTTTTTTTTTTTTTTTTTTCACCCAGCGGGCCTTTAGTATGACCGTGACCACAGAAGGGAACGATACAAAAAAAAACAACAACTATTATGTTGACTATAAATTATGCTTTTTCCAGACCCCTCGGCCCAAAGTAAGAGGTCACACACCAGCCCAGAAGAGGTTAGCTGTCCAAACCTGAGCCACTCTGCAGAACACACACCAAGAAAGACGAGTCC